CGCTAATAACATACCCTCTAAGAAAATGAAGGGCGGGTGGGCGGGGTTAGTCCTACTTGCTAAGATAAGACTGATTTTGGCGAATGACGTATCCTCTAAGAAAATAAAGGGCAGGTGGGCGGGGCTAGTACTTGCTATTTCTGTTTTTCCAATTTTTAAACGATTTCTCAGTTTCTCGATCTTTCCATTTTTCGACTTCACGGTTTTTCATTAATGTGGACTACGTTTTGTTTGGACCATTCTATGACAGTATCCTTTGTTTTCTTCATTTTCGCTGCCATCTGATTCTGTCTATCTTTGAATTACATTTTCATTCCACTCTTCCACATCTGTCGACTTGTACTCAGTCTATAATTAATTTCACAATGAAGAATCATGCATGGGATTACATACATAATATGGAATTTTGAGGTTGCTGATGCCTTGTAAATTACGGTTTAAAGAGAAATCTACTCAAAAGGTGCTACATCTTCCAGCAATGAGATTGTGTTCCTTTGGACATTGTCAATATTATCATTTTCTTTTGCATTTTCCATTCTCCGTCTTTGTTGCAGAAGATAAAGGGACACATTATCATCTGAATCATCATCTGCATGATCTGTCAAACTCCTCATTTTTAGCTGTGCCAGTTATAGACATTAGACTCTTCTAGCATTTTTTAATAGTTTTCACTCAAAGAAAGACACTTCCTTTGTAATTTGGGCATTTCTATAAGTATGTAATTACAAGCCATTAAACTGCTCCACAATTAATTATATAAGTATTTATCATGTATTGTTCACATTATCGGGGGTTAACACTATCCACATTATACGGCTTCCAATGTATAAAATTTCCTTGTTCTCGTTAGTGAGATGTTCGTATTAACGCATATTCACATTATCGCGATTGCACTGTACTTTCTTTCTTTGATGTTTAGTTAATTTTTTTTAGTTTGTAATTTTGTAATATAAATGTAAATATAATTAAATCGATTTTATTTTTGTTAAAATCTAGTTTTACTTCCAATAAGCAAAGGAGTCGTCTAGAATCAAAACCCGTTAAATCCACTTTTTGTAAATTTTGAGTTCCAACTGTTAATTTGTTCAAAATTTAGGCTTCATTGACTAGGGGACAGTTGGAATTTAAAGGGGGGCGAACCGCATTATACCAAATTTTATTAAGTCAATGGGTTATAAACACAGGGAAGTAAATGGATGCAAAATTCTATGTGAATAAAAACATGTCGTTGCAGCCAAAATTACTTTTTTGAGAACATATTTACAGTTTCTAAATTCTTGTGAAAATTTGACTTTCGTGTATTTGGATGAAAGATGGATCTAACAAAATAGTTCGTCCATTCGTCGCTGGGTGCACGATACTGATCTAAAAAGCAATCCCACCGAAATTAAAAGTGAAGGATCAAGGTTTACTATTCTCGACGCGGGTTGTTCAACGGGTTCTTGGATGGTTGTAACAATTTTTTAAATTCAAAAAATAACGATAGAGACTATCATAAAACGATGGACGGGACAATTTTTCAAAATTGGGTGGTTAATCAGCTCATTCCTGCTTTGGCAAAGTTGAACCAAAAATGTGTGGTGGTTTTAGACAATGCACCGTATCATTCGGTTCAGTTGGATAAACTACCCACTTTTTCTGGTAAAATATGTGAAATGCAGGAATGGCTCTTTAAACATAGTGTTGAATTTGACAAAAAAATTTCGAAGAAATAGTTGTGGGATTTAATTAAACCTTTCAGAAACGATAGAAAAAAAAGATATTTGATAGACGAGACATTAAGAGAAAGTGGTCATGAAGTTCTTAGATTACCTCCGTACCATTGTCAATATAATCCAATTGAAATGGCGTGGGGATTTTGTTAGAACTATTACAACAAGCATATAAATTCTCAACCTTCATTAAAAAATAGGGTGGCGAATTTATGGGTTGAGGCGCTTTCTAAATGTACTCCAAGCATGTGGCAAAATTTTTGTAAACATTGTGAAAAACTTATTTTGGCAGATTGGAAAAAAATATGATAATTAATGATAATAATAAATCTTTATTTGTGCCAATAAAAAAAATTTTACACGCGTCAGAATAAGCTAGTAAATACATCGAACATAATTTTATAAAAATAAATAACAATTTTTAAAAGAAACAAATTAGAATTAACTCTATAAATATATATATGATCTACTATATAATAAATTAAGCACCACTAGATAGTAACACCAGGTCTTTAAAATTATTATTTAGGTATTCATCTAATGAATAAAATGCCTTTCGTATCAAATATTGTTTCACATTTTTTAGAAAATCATGACTGTTGTATCTACGTACTTCGTCAGGCAAAGTGTTCAAAAATTTTATGCAAAAATAATTAATGGCATCCCTCAACTTAGTGAGACGCAAGTTTCTGAAACAAATATACTCGTGTCTAGTCCTGTAGTTTGACTTTGGGATATAATTCTGTATGCCGAGTAATAAATTCCAAACATCGATAAATATAAAGCGAAGGAAGTGTGAGTATTTTTAGTGACTTGAAGTACGCTCTACAATCTTCTCTGTATCCTATATTAGCTATTATTCTGATTGATCTTCGTTGTAGTTTAAAGAGTCGTGATAAAGATGATGAGTGCCCCCAGACTAAAATGGAATAATTGAGAAGAGAGTGTATCAGAGCATAATAGGCCATACATAAACAGTTTAAAGAAAGATTATTAGCCAAATTTCTTAAAAGGAAGGTATTTTTTTGAAATTTTATCTGACATATAATTACCGTGCTGACACCAAGTAAGTTCCTTATCGATAATGACTCCTAAGTACTTTGTATATTCCGCACAGTCGATGGAACATTCGCAGGGTCTTAATGTGAAGAGCATTGAGACTCATTTTGTTTTATTTAAATGGAGTATAGACTCCATTTAAATAAAACAAAATGAGCCGCCGAGTGGTTCAGTGCAAATAGTTGCACTGAACCACTCGGCGGCTTTCTTCATAGAATTTTGATTGGCGTTGAAGGCAAGGTCGGCAGTTACTCCTGCTGTACCAATGCAAGTATCATCAGCGTAGAGAGTTACATCAACTTCTTTAAGGTAGTCTGGAAGATCGTTTGTATATAGCAAGAACAATATTGGTCCCAAAATGGGCCCTTGAGGAACCCCATAATTAATAGAATAAGTACAAGATGATCTGTTTTCAATGGATACGCTTTGAATTCTATTTTTAAGGTAACTCATAATCAGATTTACACTCGGTGGTTGGAAATTATAGTAATATAATTTTCTTAACAGAATATCGTGAGTTACGCAATCAAAAGCCTTACTGAGATCTAAGAAATGGGTTGAGTAGTATTCTTTACGTTCAAAGCTCTGGATTATCTTATCGACTAGTGCACTGATGGCTGTAGAAGTAGAGAGTCCTTTACGGAAACCAAATTGTTGTAATGTCAGAAGGTTATATTTATATAGATATTCCGTAATCTGCTGTAGCATTAGTTTCTCAAAAATTTTCGAAAAAATTGGTAATAATGATATTGGCCTGTAATTGCCAATAGCATCAGGATCGCCTTTTTTGTATATAGGAACCACACTGGCTCGTTTGAGACAATCAGGGAATAAATTCACTTCAATGCAGGAGTTTATCAGATTGGTAAGCGGTTGTATTAATATGTCTTTAAGGGATTTAATAAGTGGTACTGTAACTCCATAAATGTCTTTCGAATTATTATTTCGTAAGCTAACAAAAGCATCTCGTACTTGGATATAAGTTACTTGTTTAAAATTAAATGAGGTATTTATATTAGGTATATTTGTCATTAAGCTAATGGGATCAAATTTTGGGGGAGCCAAGGTTGAAATGATGTCTGTAGCAATATTTGCAAAAAAGGCATTAAATTCATCAGGTGTTATGGCAAAAGTTTGTTTAGGTTGTTTTTTGGTATTTTTACATTTGATCAATTTCCACATTGCTTAAGGACTATTTTTGTTTATTCTAAAATATTTATCATTAGCTTGTTTTTTTACATTTTTAATAGCTATATTGTATTCACGTCTAAATTCCAGTAACAACGATTTGAATTCTAAAGTTCCATGCAATTTATAAGCTTCGGAAAGCAATTTTAATGTTTCTCTCATCTTTTGAAGTTCTGTTGAAAACCAATTATTACTTGGAATTTTGCTTCTATTGTAGCAGACTATAGTTTTTACAGGAAATGCAATATAATAGTTATATAAGATGGTATTAATGAACATGTTAAACTTATTGTTAATATCAATATCAGATTTTACAAAGTCCCAATTAACTGCACTTAATAGATTGAAAAAAATTAATTTACCATGATTCGTGAGGGGTCTTGTAAGTTTGAATTGTTTTTCTTGTGTTTTAAAAATTTGAGAAATATTAATAGCTACTCCTCTATGATCTGACAGATGGGTCTCAAAAGCATTCACCTTTAGTTAGATCATCCACGGTGTTACTTTGCGCCAAATTTTAAGCATTTTCTTTTTTTTTTTTGTAACTCTTCATGGACCTGGAGAAGGCGTATAGTAATGTTCTTATTAATAAGCGTTTGGAAGTACTTAGTAAAAGCAAATAAAGAGCACTTACGTAAGCATTAGTAATAGCTATATAGATAAATCATTCAATTTAAGGCCAGAAAAATGTTTCAGAAGAGCTAAACCCATCAAAGCACTAGAGCAAGTTTTGTTGTCTTTTACCAACCCTTTTAGTAATCTTAGAAAAGTGATAAAAGAAGTTGGAAGATATGGAAATAGATTGTTCACAAAGGTCGAAATTTCCATTTCTAAGAAGAGTGGGCGAGCAGAACGAACTGATGATTTAGAATTAAAGATGAGATGCTAAATGTGGCATGCGACAATCGTCGTATGCAGAACCCCCATTCATATAAAAACAATGTTTAAGTGAAATTTTAGTGTTTGTTCCTTACATATGAAATAAACACTCAAAAACTCGCTCAAATAACAACAAACAACAACTGATCATTTTCGTTTCAGGTCCCCCCGGCCCGCACCTCTTCTCTCCACCACGGTAAGTCACGCGAGTCCCGGGCCATCCATCACTTTTCCGCCGCACCTCGTACCATTATTCTGCTTGCCCGTTTGCATCCCGTACAAAAACCCTCCATCGTCCAGCCGAAGCGGCGTAAAATAATGGAGTTGTGTCTCTCGTACGGACATAGAAAGCAACATAACGCACACTCGCATACACGCAGGCCATTAATGCGTTTGGTTGATGATTTAGAAGAAGCGACCGGCCTCAATTTGTATCCCGCCAGTGACAGGCCAATCTCGCTCCCGAACTTCACCCAAGATTAATAATTCCACTTGTTTTTGTAATATTTCACATGTTAATTACCAGCATTGTGTGCCATTTGCGGTGAGTTATGTGCGGGACCACCGCAAATTTGTTCGCGTGATAAAAAGGGAGAGGTTTTTGGGACCGCGCAAAGCGGCAAAAAGAAGTTGGCGAAAAAGAAACATGAACATTTTTTTTTCAACAAGGACCAATTGATGCAAGTATTCATAACAGCAAAATTTTCAAGACTTCAAAGCGCTCAATTATTTATATTTCTCATTTATTCGCTCAAGGTTGGAATTTGTTAATGTCATAATCATCATCTTCAATCACAAATTTATGCGTCGGCGACGTCCGGAAATTTAATATCTCATCAGAATTCCTAAAGACAGACAGAGAAAAAGTTTAGCCCGGAGTACTTCGATAAGCACAAACATGCGTTAATGATTTTCGCCACAACACTGATCATATCTTTCTGCCACCAGTCTTTGTGTCTATGTATATATTTATTTCAGCTGGTTTTTGACGCAACACCCATTTAATTTTAATTAGTTTTCTGCCTTCCGGTCACTCAGCTAGGTTTTAAGTATCATTTGTTTTTATGACATGAGTTCCTTGTTTGCAATTAATATTGTTTTGTACTACCTGTGCTACGTAGAAAGTAGGCATCCTTTTCTATTTCTGTGTTCATATTAATACAGTCATAGGTTAAGAACAAATTTTGGGCTAAAAAAAATTAGTTCTTTTTTTTAGTCAGTTTTTCCAAATAAATTTTGTTTGATACGGTTATTTATATTTCATTTTTTTATTTTTCAGATTTTTAGGATTTTTGTTTTGTTCAGTCTTCGGAATCTTTAAAATTTCTCTCATGTTAAGATTTCATGCATTTTTTACAAACTATAGAATCTTTGAAATATTTGGAACAGAAACCTTTTATTTCTAGGAACATTAATACTTCCAAGATCTTTACAATTTTTAAGATTTGTTTCTTTTATTTAGAACCTAAAACTTTAGTTTATTTAGCATCTTTGGTGTCTTTACATTTCGCAAATTCTATTGTATGCAATCTTTAAGATTTTTAGAATGTGTCGAGTCTTTGGAGTTTTTGAAAGATTTCAAAAATTTGGAAACTTTTGAAATTTTGAAATCTAATATTTTTTTATTTTCTCTTAATTTTCGGCAATTTTCGTAATTTGCAAAATTTTCAAAATTTCTAGAATGTTCAGATGTTCCAGATTAGCCCAGTTTTTCAGATTTTCCGAAGTACACAAAATGTCCAGAATTTCCACATTTTCCAAAATTTCTAAAATTATATCAGGCTCCAGTTATACTAGTATTTATTAGTAAATTCAACATTTTCCAATATTTTCAAGATTTGTAGGTCTACCACATTTTTCCCACACTTTCTAAATTTATTCAGATTTTCTAAAATTTATAGATCTCTTTGGAATTTTTCGAATCTCTGAAATCTTTACATTACATTACAAAACCAAAAAAATCAGAAATTGAGAAGTTCCCAAAACTGATAATGTTGAAAAAATTGAGAAATAGTAAACTTTAAAAATCGGGAAATCTAAAAATCGAGAAGTCGAAAAATTTTTAAAATCGCGAAATCGCAACATGAAAAAATCAAAAAATAAAAATCGAAAACCTTAAAATTTTAAAATATCGGAAAGTTGAAAAATTGTGAAATCGAAGTACTTATAAAACAGTTAAAAAAAAATAGAAGAAAAATTGAAGTATCGAAAAACTGAAAAATCACAAAATTGAACGAAATATCCAAAAATTGAGAAAAGTGAAAAATTGAGAAATGGAAAATCAAAAAAGCAAAGTGGAAAAGTCGAAAAATTAAAAAATCAAAAACCTGAAAAATCGAAAAATTGTAGAACTGAAGAACTGAGAAATCGGAAAACTGAAAATTCAGAAACGTCAAAATTTGAAGAATTAAAATATTGTAAAATTGAAAACTGGAGTAATTCCAAAAAAAAAAAAATCAAAAAAAGAAAAATCCGAAAATCTAAAATTTAAAAATCGAAACATCCAAAAATCGAAAAGCCGATAAAAAAAGATCGAAAAACGGACAAATCGAAAATTCGGAATGTCAAAAATGTCAAAAATTGAAACATCCAAAAATCGAAAAGCCGAAAAGAAAGATATCGAAAAACCGACAAATCGAAAAATTCAAAAATTAAAAGATCGAGAAATCGAGGAGTCGAAAAGTCGAAAAATCGAAAAATTGAGAAACCGAAATAGGCCAAACTCAAAAATTTAGAAATGGAAAAATTCATAAATCGAGAACTTCGGAAAATTGAAAAATTAAAATATAGAAGACTGACTAAAAACTCGAAAAATCGAAAAATCTAGAATTTTAAAAATTTAAAAAATGAAAATATCGAAAAGTTGAAAAATTCAGAAATCGAAATATAGAGCAATCGAAAAATTAAAGAATCTAAAGTTTACAAAATGAAAAACTGAAAATCCAAAAATAGAAAATCGAAAAATCGAAAACTCCAGAAGTCGAAAAATCGAAAAGTCAAAGAATCGGAATATTGAAAAATCCGAAAACTGAAAAAAATCTTCAAACAAAAAAAAACGAAAAATTGAAGAATTAAAGAATTGAAAAATCGAAACTTTGAGAAGTCAAGAAATGGGAAAATTATAAATAGAATAATTCAGAAATCGCAAAACTGACAATTTACCAACGTCAAAGTTTGAAAAATTGAAAAACAGAAATACCGAAGAACTGAAAAGCAAAAAATCGAGAAATTGAAGAATATAAAATTTAAAACAGTGAACAATTAAAATATCGTAAAATCCAAACATCGAAAAATCAAAAGATAAAAATTCGAAAATCTAAAATCAATAAAATGAAAAATCGACAAATCGAGAGATAGAAACTGCAAGATTAAAACATCAAAAAATCGAAAATTGGAAAATCAAAAAATTGAAAAGCTCAGAAATAAAAAATGTAAAAACAAGAAATCTAAGAATCGAAACATCGAAAAATTTAAAAACTGAGACATCGAAAAATCAGAGGATCGAGAAATCGAGAATTGGAAAGCCGAGAAGAAAAGTTAAAAATTGAAAAACTGGTGCAGAGGTTCAACATATTTAATAACAATAAAACTGCTTTTAATGTTTTAATAAAAAGTATAAGGTATTAATAATTTCAAAAATGCAAAAACAAGAAGGACTCAAATAAAAGATACATTTTTCCTTTAATAAACAATTTAGTGAACAATTTTTTACTTAGCTATCTAAAGCTCCTTCGTCTAGGAACTCGCTACGCAATCAAGAACATGAATAACCCAAAACTCCTCTCGTAATTTACCCCCCGCCGGCGCCGCTCCACCAAAGGTAAAGGTCAACAATAACGCCAAAAATATCCCCTCGGCGACCTCCGCCCCTCCCTCCGCGGCGTAAATCAGGGCTCGATTAATAACTCCTGGTCTCGGACAGGCGACGACACCTAATTGACAAGCATCATTTCCTGGTGGAAGTAGGTACACGGTCGCCCTCAATTTCCGGTCAGCCCTTCCCCAATTATAGCCGTAATCACAGGAAATTATCAAATGTGCACCAGCAGAACACATCCTCCTTATCTACCTGATTCATGGGACGATGCGGTCACCATTATCATGTAAACGCGGACAGAGATCCACGAATTATGGATCGAGGATTGCGCAATCCTGCTGATGGTAGACCGGATGACATCAATAAAATTGCCGGAACGGAAATCGCCCATTCCGTACTTGCGGGATATCCGAGATTAATTGGGAGCGGCGGGGGCGGCGGCGGCGTCCCGCGGGAGGGAAAAAGACGAAAAAACGGCGAAACGTCGAAGCGTACGAAAGGGTCGTTGAAAAACTGAAAAATTAAAATTGAAAATTTTTGGTGACTAAAATTGAAATTGTGTAAAATAAACACTGTTGCCAAGTGGAGCGATATTCCCCATAAATATTTATAATATGGATTTTTTCGGTGTAATTTCCACCTAGCGCCTCGGTTAATTACAGCGCGAGGTGAAAAGTCGCCCACTCATTTCGCCCCTTCGAAACCCTCCCCAACTCCGCCGTTCCACACCACCATTACTCGTGTTTTACAAATCGCTTATCAGCATTATCAGCCTTCAACGCAAATGTCATTACGATAAAACCCATGTCGTGATAACATTAAAATGATAAAGTATTATGCCTAGCATTTAAACATATTTTTCTGGTAATTCCCCCGGCGCAATCAAATATTCATTTCGCTGCTTAAGGCACTTAATGATTTTTCAGCTCATTTTCTTAATTATCGTGCGGCGCTATCGAGCGCCGCGGAAAAGGGAAAAAACAACGGCTCTTTGGCGGATTGTCGCGAATGCATAATAGAGAAATGGCGGCAACGAGCGTGCGAGTCCGACATAATCAGATAGCGTCCCGGAGTTTCGAATCCGGGCGACGCGGCTCCGGAACACGCGAACGCCGACATCTGATTGTGTAATTATACCTCGCCTATTAATTTCGAAAGGAGGCGGGGAGGTGTTGATCGGAGTTGTGACGCAAGAGGTGGTTAACACACGGCACAGTGGACAAAATTCGAAATCAGCTGGAATCAATTGAAAAACGTGATAAAATTTTTGGGACCAGAAAAATCTTTAAAGATTATCGCTTGATAATTGGATGCGCCAATCAGATTACAAGAAAACTTGTTACCAACAAAATGGCGATAATAACAAAACTTGAATCAAG